AGCTGATCATAGGACTCTGATAGTTTGATGCACAGCACTGACTAATCATTCCTTGTTAATATTTGCTCATGTCTTGGTGCAGACCCAGTCGTACAGTGGGATCTGGGTATCCTGAAAGATGAATCCCAAGAAGTGAGTATGTTGATGCAACAAATGATCAAGAAGCCAAATGGAATGTTGGTCTTTATTTTAAGGGGAGCAGAATATAAAAGTAAGGTACCTTTTATTGCAGCTGTGCAGGGCTTAGGTGAGACCACATCTGGAGCACTGTGTACTGTCTTGGACTCTAACTTGAGAAAAGATATGTTTGCTTTGGAAGCAGCTTTGAGAAGGTTTGCTCAACTCATGCCTGGGATGAAGGGCTTATCTTATGAAGAAAGATGAACAGGTTGGGCCTATATCTATTAGAGTTTATTTGAATGAGAAGTTATCTTATTTACACTCTAAGACTTTGAGGGGACTTGATATACAGCACAGAAACAGACCCTTCAGCCCAGCTTGTCCATGTTGACCAGATATCTGATATAACTCTAATCCCATTTGCCAGTATTTGGCCCATATCCCTCTAAACTCTTCCTATTATATACCCATCCAGATGCCTTTGAAATGTTGTAATTGTACCAGCATCCTCCACTTCTCCTGGCAGCTCATTCCATACACGCACCACCCTCTGTGTGAAAATGTTGCCCTTTAGATCCCTTTTATATCTTTCCCCTCTCACCTTAAACCAATACCCTCTAGTTTTGAGAGGGAAATGACCTTACCTATTTACTGTATCCATGCCCCTCCTGATTTTTATAAACCCCTATAAGGTCACCCCTCAGCCTCCGATGCTTCAGGGTAAGTAACCCCAGCCTATTCAGCCTCTCCCTATAACTCAAACCCTCCAACCCTGGAAGCATTTCTTTGTTTTTTGAGGGTCAGTTAATCTATGAAATTTATTCCTGCAGGAAGCAGTGAGGCTGGATCATTCGAAGGATTTTTCAGAGTTTATGGGGATAGGTGAGGTGCAGTTGAGAGCACAGTGAGGTCAGCCATAATCGTTTAAATGGCGGAGCAGTGTTGAAGGACCAAATAATTTACTACTCCTAAATCTCTCAGTGGCTTTCCCTATTACAGGACATTGAGATTTTTTTTTGTTCCGTCATGGGATGCGGGTATTACTGGAAAGGACAACATCTTTTGCATGTGCATAATTGTACTTGAACTGAGTGGTTTGTTTGGCCATTTTAGAAGATGGTCAAAAGTTAACTACATTGCTGGCGATCTTGAATCATATGTAGTCCAGATCAAACGAGGATGACAGATTTCCTTTCTTAAACAGTATTACTGTGCCGGGTTTTGATGATAGTGATAATTTTGTGGGCACCAATACTAAGACTACCTTTTTAGTTTCAGATTTTATTAGTTGAATTCAAATTCTACGCCTGTTGCCGTGGTATTCTGAGTGCATTTGCCAGGACTTCTCTATTATTAATCCATTGACATTATGCCACCTTCTCCTTTAAAATGTGACACACCTTTGCATAAGATGAAGCCAATTAAGACCAACATGCTTTTCTTGAACTCTCCTGCCCTTTGTTCATGTCCGTGCTCAATAAGCTGAGCCAACAAGAGAATTTAACTTATTTATTTAATGTCTGGTGGCTTTGCCTGTGGAAAATCGGGGCAAAGCAAACTTTTCTTAATGCATTGGTGATGTTGTATTGATCAGTATGGGGATCTGCAATAATGCAAACGTATATGACCAGATGATAAACAACAGATGGGAAGAGAGCTCTGACCCATCTGCCCCATACAAATGTAATCGTTTTATACATAATATATACACTGCTTCTCAAGCACTTCACCACCACCTCCCCAACCCACCCACCACAGAAACAGTGGTCTCTTCTGGGAAGGGCAAAAAGTAAATTTTAAAACTGCAGGTCAGTTAAGGAAAAATATCAGGAAAATTTCTCTCTGACCCTCTAAGTAATTGGAAGAAGTCAAGAAAGCAAATGGAATGCTGGACTTTATATCCAGAGGATGGCAGTACAAGAATGCAGACGTCATGCTGAAGATATCCAAATCATTTCTGGTATGACCCCAATTGGAGTATTGCGAGCAGATCTGGACACCACATTTTCAGAAGGATATTTTGGCCTTGGAGGGAGTACAATGTAGGTTTACAAGAATGACACCTGGATTTAAGGCGTTAAATTATGAGATTATGCAAATTAAGCCTGTATTCTCTAAATTTTAAGAGGTGATCTGATCAAGGTCTTCAAGATGTTAACAAGAAAAAACAGAATAAATAAAGATAAACTATTTCCACTGTTTGAGGATCCTATGCATATACGGTGTAGAATTAGGGCCAGAGATGTTAGGAGGCACTTCTACACACAAAGGGTGTTTAGATATTTGGAATTCTTTCAAATGACAGTGGATGTTAGATCAGTTGTTAATTTAAAATCTGAGATGGATAAATTTTGATAGGCAAAGGTATTAAGGAATATGGGCCAAAGAAATATGGAGTTAGGCTACAGATCAGTCATGATCTCATGGTGGAACAGGCTTATGGGGCTGAATGGCCGACTCCTGTTCCTATGTTCTTAAGTACAAACTTTGGAGTTTAACATTAACTGCATCTAATGAAATCATGGTCCAGACGTAAACTTGTCTGTATTATTATCTAGTAATACCCCAAATCAGGAATTATGACTTAAATAACAAATTTGATATCTAACAAACATTTGAAGAAAGAGAAGAGTTGTATTTATTGCTGACAATTTCAAGGGCTTTACAATTTCCTGTTTGGCGAATGTGGATCATACATATAAATAGGTTAACCCAGCAGTCGGATTGCCAATTCCCTTGGTGTAAATTCCTACCTGAGCTGATGTTATTTTTAACTGCCCATCAATACTTTAATCAACACAAGTATGAGATTCATCATGACTCATATTAACACTACAAAGGTGGTTTAGGCAATTAAATAAAAACAATTGGTAGTGTTGTTAAATAAACACTGCATCACAAATTAATATAGCTATGCCATAGAATAACACAAAGATAAGATGGTTTAGCACATGTACATTTCATCTGTTGGACCTGGTTTTGAATCGAGCTCAGTTTGATAGGATGAAAGTCCCTTTCACCCTGACTCACTGGGGTGGATATGAATTTTGTGCAAGTACAAAGCACAGTGCTAGTCACACATTATACAGATGTCAAAGTTAATTTTTGATCTTCATTCAGGGATACTGTAAGAAAAGCTCATGAGAAATTCAAGAGTTGAATATTCCCCTAAAGTTCTTAATGAATTTACCCCTCTTTCCTCTTCTAATTGCTCTTTAAAACCTACTTCCTTTATCAGACTTTTGGCCATCTGCCCAATATCACCTTGCCATGACTTTGGCTTAAATTTTGCTTTGTGACCCTCCTGTAGTGGAGGCATAGAACATTTAATTACTATATAATTGCAAGCTACTATTGTTGAGGTTAGAATGTCTTATGGTGTTTTGAGAGTGTGCTATTCAGTGGATACCCTCAAGTTGTTTTTAATAAAGTTTTTGTTTAAGTTGGTACTTATTTTCTGTAATAAGCTGTCAGGATTTTACACATTGCAGTGTGCACACTGTTAAAATTTGTGTGTGGTTAAATATGCAAATGTTGCATAATATTTCTCAGCCGCTAATAACTTTGACTAAAAATATAGACCTACATAGATTAATGAGCGTCATTCTACTGCAGATAAATTGTTTGTTTCCACACAATAAAAATCGAATTTGGAAAGATGATGACATTAAAAGTTGCTGTGTCGGTATTTAAGCTGCTTTGTGGAGAAATGAATCTTAAGCACATTTATTTTGAGCTTCAGGATTATCAACCAAATGAGTGCCCCATTCCCTTGAGCAATATGTACCAAATAATTACAGAGAAACACTGTCAGTTATTAAATAAGAATTACTACTGAGGGAATTTATTTTCTTAAGGAAGTAGTCTCTTCAGAGAGTGTGTATGTTAGTGATTTTAGTTTGTGCGCTCAAGCCTAAAATGTGCCACATGAATGTTTACAAAATGCTTTTTTCTGTTGAAACGATGGTACAGAGCAGTTTAAAAAAATAAATCCGCACGTGCTGTTCTCTAGTGTTGTTGATTCCTTCTCTGTCCATTGTTGCTGTACAAGACAAACGAGAATATTCATCATGTGGTGCACTGACTGGCAGCTGTTCAAAACCAAGTAGAGCCTGTCATGCCTGGACATGAAAACTCTGGCCCCAATTTAGTTTGCTTTTCTCCAGAGACCAGGCTCCAATGACTAGATGACTGGCACAGTTTGTACGCTTTTAATAAAACAATGCGTATTATGTAAAGCAGTGCTAAAATATTGTCATTTCAAAAATGTAATTTAAAGGTTCAAATTGCAATTGGTAAATGACTTCTTCAAACTCCCGGTTAGCTGTTGCTGTTTAGTGGAAACTTCGTCAAGTATCAGTGACCCCAGAGCGCACACGCTAATAGCATTAAGTTAGCCAGCTCCTCCTGGCACAACCCCAAGTAGACTAAAGTAGCACAGAAAAGTAGATCCCACAAGTTCTCTAAAGATTAGCAATCTGGAGAGTGATCTTATCCAGTGAGATAATCAGATAATTTATAAATAACTCAAACTTTGTCCTACTCTTTTCTCACTAATTGACTTGCTTGATTAAGTTTTGTAGTCACTTCCATTATTTTGGGGTGGGGGTTTGGAAGGTGAACTTTTGAATGAAGGATAGGTTTTCGGAGAGTTGTGTTTCTATGTCTGACTCCCATCATTCCCTGAAATTTAGCATGGGTATCTCCAGAGTGAAGGTTATTTTTCTCGATCATTGGAAGTGGTAAAACCATGAGATGTGTATTTGATTCATTATGCCCGTGTTGGCTCTCAAAAAGCTGTCAATTAGACCCCCACTCCTTTACTTTTCCCTGCAGCCCTACAAATGTTTTCCTCTTAAATATATACAGTTCCCTTTTGAAAGTTACTTTTGTGTTAATTGAGTGAACTGAGTGTAATTTTGTATCTTCAACACTTGCACCCCTTTCTATCTTCCATAATCTGACCCAACATCCTGTCTATCAAAGTTGCGCATCTACATTCCATTGTAATT